TGGCTGAGAAGTACGAGTGGGACGTGGCCGAGGCCCGCAAGATCTGGTGCTTCGGCCCCGACGGCACAGGCCCCAACATCCTCACGGACATCACCAAGGGCGTGCAGTACCTCAACGAGATCAAGGACAGCGTGGTGGCTGGCTTCCAGTGGGCCACCAAGGAGGTGAGGCAGTCCCCTGCCTGCTCTGCTGCCCTTGGGCTTGCCTGGGAGGGCTGGTGTGGGTCCCACGGGTGCTAGACCCCATCTCCCGGCCGCAGGGGGCGCTGTGTGAGGAGAACATGCGAGGGGTCCGGTTCGATGTGCACGACGTGACACTCCATGCCGACGCCATCCACCGTGGTGGCGGCCAGATCATCCCCACTGCCCGGCGCTGCCTCTACGCTAGCGTGCTGACGGCGCAGCCCCGGCTCATGGAGCCCATCTACCTGGTGGAGATCCAGGTAGGAGTCGCCCTGCCCCTGCCCGTACCCGTTCACCCGGCCCTCGCCCCGCTGCTCACAGCTACCTGTTCTTCTGCAGTGCCCAGAGCAGGTGGTCGGGGGCATCTATGGGGTGCTCAACAGGAAGCGTGGCCATGTTTTCGAGGAGACCCAGGTGGCTGGCACCCCCATGTTCGTCGTCAAAGCCTACTTGCCTGTCAACGAGTCTTTCGGTGAGTGCCAGCCGGACGTCGTGGCCGGGCCCTGAGGGTGCTGCAGAGTCCAGGGCCACCCTGATCACTGCTCTGTCCCTCTCGCAGGCTTCACTGCCGACCTGCGGTCCAACACGGGCGGCCAGGCCTTCCCGCAGTGCGTGTTCGACCACTGGCAGATTCTGCCCGGGGACCCCTTCGACAACAGCAGCCGCCCCAGCCAGGTGGTGGCCGAGACGCGCAAGCGCAAAGGCCTCAAGGAGGGGATCCCTGCCCTGGACAACTTCCTGGACAAGCTGTGAGCCGGCCTGCTCCCCGCCACCCCGGACTGTCCACAGCGCTGCTGCTCGCAACCTCGATGCCGGCTCTCGATATTTATTTCAGGATTTCGGACGCACAGAAATGCCCTTGCAGCTGGGACTTACTGGCCTGCAGGGAGGTGGGGGGGGCGGGATGCCCCACTCATCGTGTTTTCTCATTTCAGAGGGAAATACAAATGTCCAGAAAAATAAATGCATTCAGAGGTTGATGTGGGCGAATGGCCTGTGGACGTCCCCAAGGTGGGGACAGAAACTAGTCGGGGCCTGTGTCCCCTGAGCGCCGGCAGCTGTGCGGGGCCTGCGGGTAATAAACTTGGATCTGGTGACCACACTGCCCTCCTGGATTTCTTCTGTGGGCAGCGACTGGCAGGCCCCTGGTGCAAGCCAGCCCCGTTCGTTGCCTGGTAGTCACCAAAAGTCCTGCAAACCATGTGCCAGCTCGCCATGGTCACTACTGGGCTTGGGGTCCCAGTGGACCGCTGGTAGTTCGCTTAGGTGCTGCACAGCTGCTTTCTCCCATGGGGTCCTGCATTGTCAGGCCTGTGTGTAAGCCTGCGGAGAGAACTGGGGGCCCTCTGGCCCCCCAAGATTTCTGCAATTGCAGCCCCACCAGGCTTGCAGAGCGAGAGGTACTGACAGCAGAGTAGGGCTCCTGGGGATACTAGGACCTCTCAGACACCAAGCCGGGGAGGGGCCCTGGTGTGTTAGGGTGTTGGAGCCAAGAACAGGATCTCCCCCAGAGGAGCTGGGAAGTGCTCCCCAACCCTGTGGTGAAAGGGGAAGTCCACAGAGGCCTGGGGAAGCTGTAGGTAAAGCAGCTCTGGGGTTCCCTGTCCCCGAGATGGGGACTCCTGCTTTAGGGCTTGGGCCCCCGCGGTACTCTAGGGGGATCCCTCCTGTTTCTGCTCTGTACTGACCCTCTGGTAGCTGCAGCGGGGTTTGAACTGGGGTTGGCAACTTACACAGTAGACACTCTTGATCCCCTTTTCTGGTTCTGGGGTCACCTGCCTGTGGGCAGCATGTGTGAGGCTGAACCAGATCAGCCCAGGGAACCAGCCCAAGGCTTCAGCTCCTGGTTATAGGGGTGGGTTTTCAGGTGCAGGGTCAGGAGAAAAACCTGAGTACCAGGTGTGGCCCCAAAACAAAAGTATGTCTTGTAATATTTTAAAAATCTGTTTTAATACACCTCTAAGCTCCCATCTTTTACAGAGGCATTCAATGCCAACTCCAAGCCTACTGCCAGTGTCCTTTTTAAGTATTTTTTTCTTCTTGGGTACTACTTGGTAACTGGTGATACAAGGTTACTTGCGTGTTTTCAAAAGTCTGGCGGTGCTCTATATCTCTCTTGCCACTTGTTCAGCGGTCTTGGGATTCTTCCCCCACACCAGGGAGGTCGATGGTGATGGGCAGGCGAAGGAAGGAATGAGGGCCAGGCTGGTCGATACCAATTGTAGTTTATTCCAATCTTCACTCCCCTTCTGCTTCTCTCTCTCAAGCCTGAGCCCCTTTCACCTCTGACTCTGGAGCCTGAGCCTGAGCCTCTGCCTCCGCCTTCCCCTGCCTGCCTACCTGCACCTTCTTGCTCCCTCTGAGCTTACAGTTTTAGTTTGTATAGCAATCATGTAAGGTGGTGACACAAAGGTGGGTTGAACATTAACGAATCAACAAAGAGCCGTAAGACCACTCCTAGGAGATTAACTCAAGGATAAAATCTCATCTAAAGAGATTATTCCAGATTACTAGGAGATAGACTCAAGGATGGGATTTCAAGAAGGGTGTGCTCTTTCCTCAGATAGTAATCTACTTAAGTAGTTGTAGTAAGTCTACTTCCAATATTTCTAGCAATGTCATTCTGTATGAACACAGTAAGAGAAACTTACAGTTCGGTTCTTCCTGGGTCGTCTCACTATATAGACCACAGTCCTCAAGCCAGGTTAGTTTTCCTAGCCCCAGTAGGGTCCTAGTCTCCTTACTTTTGGATCATGATAGCATCTGTCCATGATCATGCCCTCAGCTTATAGTTGAGTATCGTGGCGCTTTGGCCTGACCCATTTTGATACCAGGGTAGCTCACAGCTTGCCTAGGTCCATTCAGTCCCTCATCAGGACCCTGCTTTTGGGGTGCTAGGAACTAAGGGCAACTGAGTCAAGAAAGCAGATACCCAGGAGTAAATAGTATTCGGAGTCAATCAACTCCCAAGTTACAAAGCATAATATTAACTGTCTTCCTATGTCCATACAGAAAGAACATTGCTTTAAGGTAAAATATGTAAAAGATATAACTTACAAATTCAGTGTCCTTAGAAGGATCTGATCTTACAAACAAAATCTGATTAGGGAGAAAAGGTGATTAACTGGCTGGGGAGGAGAGCACAGAGAAGAGTTCACAGAAAAACAGAGGAATGGGAGTGACTCAGGAGCACTGTGATGGGTGTAACCCTATAAGCCTAAGCTCCTTGTGGCAATGTTATCCTACAGTTACTCTTGGTGAACTTGGGTCCGGGTGGGACCCAGTGAGCTGCATGCAAGGCAAACACCCTACCGGCTGTGCTCTCTGGCCCTTTTATTTCAATTTATAAGTAAACGTTTTCCTTTTCCTTTTTGGGTCACACCCGATGGTGCTCAGGGGATATTCCTGGCTCTGAACTCAGGAATGACTCCTGGCAGTGCTTGGGAACAGTGCTTGAGGACCATATGGGGTGCCAGGGATTGAACCTGCGTCAGCTGTGTGCAGGGCAAATTTCCTACCCACTGTTCTAATTGTTCCGGGCCCCTAAGTAAACCTTTTTAACTTGTGAGTCATTTTATAGTTACAGATAGGACAAAGCTCTACATTCTATGTGACCACTGCACGTGGGTCAGAGCTGAGAAGTATTTTATTTGGGGATGGGTTAGGGTGGGCACACCAAGTGGCGCTCTGGGCTGGGACTAGAACCCAAATCTCCTGATCTTGGTCCACTTACATCTGAGTGATGGTGAGTTTTCAAAGATGAGTGTTGGGGGCCAGAGCAGGTCCATCACTTGCCTCGCATGTGGTGGACCCAGGTTCCATCTCTGGTACCCCCAAGTCCTACCGGAAGCAACCCATGAGTACTGCGCGGGTGGCCCTGCATAAACTGATCAAAGCAAGAGTTATTTGCTTATAATTTATCCCTTTTTAGAGGGGCTGCATTTAACAGTTGGGGTATCGAATTTGGCCACACGTTAAGATGTGATGTGCCACTTGAAATCCTCTGGCCTGGTTTTGATTTCCTGATTTTGCTTTGTGTGGAGAACCCGGAGCTAGGTCTCAGGCTATTCCAGGCTCTGCTCAGGAGTGACCCCTGTTGGTGCTTTGGGCTATTCCTGGCCATGCTCAGGAGCGTCCTGGCGGTGTTTCTGGGCACCGTAACGCATAAAAACAAATCTAACCGTTACTTAGAGGTGGCCTGGATGCCAGAATCAGCCCAGGTGCCTGACATGCAAAGCACATGCGAGTAAACTGTAAAAGTGTGAGCTGCGCATAGTGAAGGAGAGGGATAAATAGCGGAGTAGTATCACTCTTACCATCAGCAGTAAGAGTGAAAGTTTGGACGCCAGGACCTCATACAAAAAACAATGGCCCACGGCTGAGCACTGTGTCTCTGAGCTTTCGTTGTGAGGCGGGGGTTGGGGGGCCACGGGAAGGAGACGGGGTGACAGCCGGCTGCAAACAGAAGGTTGTGGGATCTGGTGTCTGGCGCAGGGCAGCATTGGAGGACGGGGCCCCTAAGGGACAAGAGCTACTCCGCTAGAACCAGGCCTTCGGTGCACGTCCTCATGCTCAACGAGGGGGGACTCAAACCCTAATTCGCGGTTTCAGGACCCCGGGCCGCAGGAAAACGGGACCGCTCCCAGGCCGGAAGTCAGATTTCCAATTTCATTGAACGTGACGGACGACCAGGATGGCCTATCAGTTCCGAGACAGTAGCCTGTTAGCCAATGGAAAAGTGGTCGGCAGGCTCGGGGCGGGGCGTCACGCGCTGACCAATGAGCGGTGGACTCTGCCTGGTGGGCCGGCACTAGTGAGCGAGGTGACGTCAGCGCTGCCCGGGGAGTCGCGGCGGTGGCGGTGGCGGCGGCGGCTGTGTCCGCGGAGAGGCCGGTCCCGGAGTCGGGTCCGCAGAGGGTCCGGAGCGGGGTCGACCGAAGGCTGGTAGGTGGGGCGGAGTTTGTTCTTTAGGGGCTTGCGAGGCGTATTGGGGACCCTCTGGGAGAACCGGGGCCGAGAGGGGGCTGAGCTGGGGCCCGCGAGGGGCGTGGTGGCCTTGGAGGCGACCTTGGAGGGGAGGGGCGGCTGGGGCGGGGGTCTTCGGGTCTGCATTGAAGCTGGGGCGAAGATGGAGCGCAGGACGTTGGAAGAGGCTCAGATGCGACCTTTGGGGGGTCGGGGAGACGGTGTGGGGCTCTGATGGGTCCCGTGGGGCTTTGCGGCTGCCGGGGAGTCGGTGGCGGGCTGCGATAGGTCGCGGGGGGCTTTGCCGGGTAGCCGGGGTCTCTGATCCGTCGCGGGGAACCCATCAGGACCGCAGAGTGAGAAGGGGCAGGGGTGGTGGTGGGGTGTTTGCAGTAGTTGGGAAGCCTTTTGTCCGCGTCTTGGGGATTCAGGGTTGGGGGATCCGCACCGCGGAAGGCTGGTGGGGTCTCTAGGTGGGCAGCGGTGCGAGTGTTGCGGGCGGAGCTGGTGAGGAAAGTGGGACCAGGAGTCTGGGAGCGCGCCTTTCCCCCGACGTACGCGCTCACGTTTTCTGGGGGGTGTGCGCAGCCTGGGGGCGCTTGCAGGAATGTGTGGGGGCTCCGGAGCAGCAGGTCGCGAGGGGCCGAGGGGGGCCGGGAACCGAGGGCTGCGCCTGGTTTGGGGGGTGATCGGAGCTCGGGGGTGAAGGTGGCAGGGAGTGGGGCGTCGCTCGCCCTGTCTGACCGTGGATCTTCCCCAAGGAACAAGGCGCGGGAGCCAGGCGTGATGCGAAACCTTTTTCAGGCGGAGCGGTCACCCGGGACCTTCACCCCAACTTCCTTCCCCGTTTCTCCAGGGAACTCTCCGAGGTCCGGTCCCCGAGTCGCTGGCGCTGGGCCCTCCCCGGGACAGCCGCGGAGGCCGCAGGCGGGCAGCCCGGCCACCATGTCCACCTTCCGGCAGGAAGATGTGGAAGACCACTACGAGATGGGGGAGGAGCTGGGCAGGTGAGCTGGGGTCTCCCGCCTGCTCTGCTCCCCTCCGTGCTGGGGGGGAATTGCGCGTCGACGCTCTGCAGAGCGCCCCCTTGCGGCTCGGACCGTGCCTGGCAGCCGCCTGGGCGGGGGCAGTTTCTGGTAGGAAAGCTTTATGGGGGCTTCATGGGGACGCCCAGACTCCCCGCCTGCCAGTTGTTTGCCGGAGAGTTCTGTCCTGCTTGGGCCTGGAGTTCCCTCCCCGCCCCCTCACCTTTCTTTCTTTTTTTTTTTTTTGCTCCATTCTTCTTCCTCTTTTTGGCACCTCCCACCTTATTTGGCGATTTGGCTCCCAGCCGGCAGCCACTTGGACCATGATGTCAGCTGAAGGGAATGTCAGCCGCGGAAGCCCAGCTCAGCAGAGGGTGGGGGTGCGGGGCTTTTCCAGAGTTTGCCAGGCCCCTCGGGGATTCTGAAAGAACCTTCTCAGGGAAGAGCAAATGTGTGCCCATCCACGACCCCACCCCCGCCCCCCACCCTAATCCCAGAGTTGACACTGGAAAGTGTATCCTGGAGCCCAGGAGGGTGCCCCTGGTTTCATCCCCAGCATCGAATGGACTGGTCGGCGGAGCCCCCAACCAGTGCAGGGGGTGACCCAGAAAACAAAACAAGGGGCTGGAGCGATAGCACAGCGGGTAGGGCATTTGCCTTGCTCGCAGCCAACGTGGCCGACCCATGTTCCATTCCCAGCATCCCATATGGTCCCCCGAGCACTGCCAGGAGCAATTCTTGAGTGCACAAGCCAGGAGTAACCCCTGAGCATCGCCGGGTGTGACCCAAAAAGCAAAAAAAAAAAAAAGTAAATAAATAGAAAACAAAACAAAAAGCCATATGATTATGGCAGGTGATCAGCAGGGGGGGCACACCTGCTCTGAGTAAAGTGGGTTGCTGTAGGGAAGATTAGTCAGTGATGATGAGGTACCACACAGATAATGGCCGGGGGGGGTGGGTGTCTCCTAGGCCGTCCCCTCCAGCCTTAGTGGGGAGATCGTGCCCTCATTCTTGCACCCCGCTTACATCTCTTGTTGAGGTGCTTCTTAGAGCGTGTGGGGTGCTGAGGTGACCTCCCCACCCCCCCACCCCTGCCAGGGTTGGTAAAGGCCCAGCTGCTGTTGGGCTCAGTCCCAGTCTGTGTCCTGGTTTTTCTGGTAGAGAAACTGTGGCAGGGTGGACAGGAAATGACTTGCTCAGGTGTCAGTGGGGTTTGTTCCTTGATTTTTTTTTTCTTCTCTTGGTGAAGGGCACATCAGCCTTGCTCAGGGGCTATTCCTGGCTTGGTGCTTGGGGGCCCATGTGGTATTGGGGGTCAAATGTGGGCCTCCTCCAAGTGGGCACGCTGCGCCGTTGGATTTCCTTGCCAGCCCCAGTCCTTAAATTTTTTTTTTAGCGTGGGCCACGCCCAGTGGTGTTCAGGGTTGACTCCTGACTCTGTGCTCAGGGGTCACTCCTGTTGGGACTCACTCCTGTGTGGTACTGGGTAGTGAACCTGGATCAAGGGCGTGCAAGGCCTGGCACCCCTCCTGCCTCAGGCCAAGGGTCCCTCTTGATTCTGGAGTCTGTGTGTGTGTCTGTGTGTGTGTTGGGGTCTTCCCAGTACGGGCCTGCACTGGCCTACCCATCTTGCCACCCTGCCCACCGTTGTAGGGCCCGCCCACTTATCTGCACCACCATCTTTTAGCCCCGCCCACTCTTCTAGGCCCCGCCCACTGCCTAAGCACCACCTGCCTATTTGCCTCCCCAACAGTTTAGCCCCACCCTCTGTCGCCCCCGCCCATCCCTCTAGGCGCGCCCACCGCTTAACCACGCCTACACACGCCACGCCCACCACTTGACCCGCCCACAACTAGGCCACGCCCACAAACGAATCCCACCCACTTGCCTCCACCCCGCCCACCGCTTCCCGCTTTGCTCCGCCTTCCCGGTCCCCCTCCGTCCCCCCACTCACCCGTCCGTTCTGTCCCGACGCCCCCGCAGCGGCCAGTTCGCCATTGTGCGGAAGTGCCGGCAGAAGGGCACCGGCAAGGAGTACGCGGCCAAATTCATCAAGAAGCGGCGCCTGTCGTCCAGCCGGCGCGGGGTGAGCCGGGAGGAGATCGAGCGGGAGGTGGACATCCTGAGGGAGATCCGGCACCCCAACATCATCACGCTGCATGACGTGTTCGAGAACAAGACGGACGTGGTGCTCATCCTGGAGCTGGTGTCCGGCGGCGAGCTCTTCGACTTCCTGGCCGAGAAGGAGTCGCTGACCGAGGATGAGGCCACGCAGTTCCTCAAGCAGATCCTGGACGGCGTCCACTATCTGCACTCGAAGCGCATCGCTCACTTTGACCTCAAGGTGCGCCTAGGCCCGGGCACAGAGGGGAACAGCCGGGGATAGAAATGGGCACAGGGACAGAGGGGCAGAACCTGGCTCTGGGCACAGAAGGACAGCTCGTGTTAGACTGACGGAAATGGGGTCAGGGGACAGAGCTGGGGACATAGCCAGGGCTTACAGCTGGACCCTGGGCTCAGGGGGGCATATCTGGTTCTTTTTTCTCGTTTGCGTCACACCCAGAGGTGCTCAGGACTTATTTCTGACTCTGTGCTCAGGGATCACTCCTGGTGGGGCTTGGGGGACCCTATGGGGTGACGAGGATTGAACCTAGCTTGGCCAAGTGCAAAGGAAGCACCCTCCCTGCTGTACTATCTCACTGGTCCAAAGAAATTTTTTTTTTGAGGGAGGGATGCCACAAATCCAGCAATGGTCAGGGGTTACTCCTGGCTCTGCACTCAAGGATAATTCCTGGTGCGGCTCGGGGGACCCTGTGGGATGCCAGGAATCAGACTCAGGTCAGCTGCATGCAAGGCAAGCGCCTTCCCCACTGTCCTATCGCTGCAGCCCCCAGAGGGGCAGAGCTGGGCAGGGAAGAGCCGTGTGTGTGTGTGTGTGTGTGTGTGTGTGTGTGTGTGTACGGGGGGAGAACGAGGGTCTGGTTCAGTGGCTCAGAACACACCCCGTGGAGTGGGAGGGGGTCCTCCGGGAAGGTGGGGTGGTCAGCTGAAATGGCAGGGTACCCCTGCAGCCAGAGAATATCATGCTCCTGGACAAGAACGTGGCCAGTCCCCGGATCAAGCTCATTGACTTTGGCATCGCCCACAAGATCGAAGCAGGGAACGAGTTCAAGAACATCTTTGGCACCCCGGAGTTTGTGGGTGAGGGTGGTGTCCGGGATGCGTTCCCCTGGAGGTTGTGGGTGAGGGTGGTGCCCAGCCTGCGTCACCCTGGAGTTTGCAGCCCACTGCACTGTGCTCTGGGCTTCCCTGCCTGGGGATGGGGGTGGGGGTCCGTGCTGCCCTCCCGGGGCTGCTGTGGACGTACTTCTTGCCTCCCATCCCCCAGCTCCTGAGATTGTCAACTACGAGCCCCTGGGCCTGGAGGCTGACATGTGGTGAGTGGGGGGCTGGGCAGGGGGCTGTGCACAGATCGTGGATGTCGTGGATCTGCATGCTCTGGGGAGCACTTTGCACCCTGAATGCCCGCTCCGTGGGTGGGAGCCTGGAGGCCAGAGGGGCTTTTCTCCCCTGCTCTGCACCCCTTGGGCCTGGGGGAGTAGCAGGCAGTGACCACCCCATGCCCTCAGAGCCCACCCTGGGCCTCCCTTGCACCCCCCCCGCCAGCTTTGGCCTCTGGTTTGGGCTCAGACTCTGCCCTGGGGGGGCCCTGGAGGAATCGGGGTGCTGTCCCTGGCCGGCCAATTGACCCCTCATTCCCATGTCACCCCACAGGAGCATTGGCGTTATCACCTACATCCTGTGAGTGTCTTGCATTTCCGGGGCCCCTGGGCAGAGAGTCGGGCAGCCCTGTGTGTGGGGGGGGGTGGCGGGTGGGGACAGCTCCTGTCTTTACGGACCCCGGTGGGCTGGGTGGTGACTCGAGCCTTCAGGGGACTGTAGAGATGGAGGATCAGGGGTTCCAGGCCCCGCTGCCCTGAGGAGTTGGTGCCGCCCTTTGCGGGCCCAGTGGGGGTGATGAGCCTTTTGTTCCTTCGGAGCCTGGTTGTGTGTGGGTGGACCGTGACCCAGCAGGGTGGAGGGGGTTGGTGGGGAGGGTGTGGGGGCCCAGTGGCCACCGCCCGTGAGTCCCGTGTCTGGCTCGTGGCAGCTTGAGTGGTGCGTCCCCCTTCCTGGGGGACACCAAGCAGGAGACGCTGACCAACATCTCGGCCGTCAACTACGACTTCGATGAGGAGTATTTCAGCAGCACCAGCGAGCTGGCCAAGGACTTCATCCGCCGGCTCCTGGTCAAGGACCCCAAGTACGTAGGAGAGGCGGAGGATTGGGGTCCCCCTCCCCCAGGCACGGGCCAAGGATCTGCACCCTTACCCAGTCTCACATTCTCATCCCTGTCTGGGTGGAAGCTGATTTCAACGTAAAATGGGCCCTTGCTGCTGGCGGGACAGGACAGCTGGGCAGGAGCTGGCCTCACGTGGGGCTGACTTGGGGTCGATCCTTCACACCCCACAGGGTGCCCCAAGTCCCGCCAGGAATGGCTTGTGAGCACAGGGCCAGAAGTCAGCTCTGAGTACTGCCAGGTGTGACTCCAAAACCCCTAACAACCCAAAATACAAAACAAGCAAGAGTACAGTGGGGAGGGCGTTTTCCTTGCACACGGCCAATTCGGGCTCAATCCCCAGCATCCCATAGGGTCCCCGAGCACCGCCAGGAATAGTTCCTGAGTGCAGAGCCAAGAATCAGCCCTGAGCACCGCTGGTATGGCCCAAACAACAACAACAGCAACAAAAGTTCTTGCATTTTTTTATTTTCTAGAAAAGTCATTAAAAATCCCAGCAAAGGGGGCTGGAGCGGGTAGGGCGTTTGCCTTACATGCAGCCAACCTGGGTTCGAATCTCTGGCATCCCATATGGTCCCCTGAGCACCGCCAGGAGTGATTTCTGAGTGCAGAGCCAGGAGTAACCCCTGAGCATTGCTGGGTGTGACCAAAAAGAAAAAAAAATCCCAGCAGGCGCAGGAGAGGGGGGCGCCTCCGAAGTCGGGGTTTGAGCCCGTGCACTGATGCCCCCAAGTGCCTCTTTTTTGGGGGGGCGTCACACCTGGTATTGTTCAGGAGTTACTCCTAACTCTGCACTCAGAAATCACTTCTAGTGATGCTCAGGGGACCTTATGGGATGTCGAGGATCAAACCTGGGTTGGTCGTGTGTCAGGCAACCACCCTCCCCACTGTACGATAGGCTCCCCAAGTGCCTCTTGGTGGGCCCTGCTGATCCCCCCAGCACCACCAGGAGTGCCCCCACCCTCCTAGAATACTCCAAGTGGGGCTGGTCCCATGGGTACCTGAGTTCCAGACCCTGAGGCCTCCGCTCTTTCCACAGTCTCGCCAGGACACAGAGACTCTCCCACTCCCACGCCATGGCCCTAGCAGACTAGAACAGCCTGGCTGAGTGGAGGGTCCTGGCCTTGTGCTGTTTAAGTGTTTTTTTTTTTTTTTCTTTTTGAGTCACACCCGGCGATGCTCAGGGGTTACTCCTGGCTCATGCATTCAGGAGTTACTCCTGGTGGTGCTCGGGGGACCATATGGGATGCTGGGAATCGAACCCGGGTCAGCCGCATATAAGGCAAACTCCCTACCAGCTGTGCTATCGTCTGACCTTGTGCTGTTTCAGGGGTGTTTCGTCTGCATCCAGGAGGCCCGGGGACCCCCCATCTGGTGCTGAGGAGGGGATGAGGGGTGGGGGGAGCCCGGCCACCCCGTCCTTGGCAGTGGTGGCCGCTGTCGACCCTGCTTCTGGGACTAATGGTTCGGGGGTGGGGGGGGGTGTCTTTCAGGAGGAGAATGACCATTGCCGAGAGCCTGGAGCACTCCTGGATCAAGGTGAGCTGGGTGATGGGGGAACTGGGGCGGTGTGTGTTTGTGTGTGTGTGTATGCATGGGGTCCCCCAGTCCTTCTGTGAATGTAGCAGGGGACGCCCCACCTTCCCAGATGGGGCTGGGACCGACCCCCTGTGAGCTTGGGCAGCGGGGGGTGTGCGTGTGTGTGCGCACGCATGGGGTCCCCCGGCTCTTCTGTGCACGCAGCGGGGGTCGCCCCACCTTCCCAGATGGGGCGGAGCTGGCCTCCTCTGCGTGCAGGGCGGGAGAGTCCCTCCCGCTCTATTGACCACTGCGCTCCCCGCTACCGCCCCCCCCCCCGCGCCCCCCGCGCCCCCCGCAGGCCATCCGGCGGCGGAACGTGAGGCGGGAGGACAGCGGCAAGAAGCCGGAGCGGAGGCGCCTGAAGACGGCGCGCCTCAAGGAGTACACCATCAAGTCGCACTCCAGCATGCCCCCCAACCACACCTACATCAACTTTGAGCGCTTCTCCAAGGTGCTGGAGGAGGTGGCGGCGGCCGAGGAGGGCCTGCGCAGCCTGGAGCACAGCCGGCGCCTGTGCCACGAGGACGTGGAGGCGCTCACGGCCATCTACGAGGAGAAGGAGGCCTGGTACCGCGAGGAGCAGGAGGGCCTGGGCCAAGACCTGCGGCGGCTGCGCCAGGAACTGCACAAGACCGAGACGCTGCGGCGCCAGGCCCAGGAGGAGGCCAAGGGTGCGCTGCTGGGCGCCAACGGGCTCAAGCGCCGTTTCAGCCGCCTGGAGAACCGCTACGAGGCGCTGGCGCAGCAGCTGGCCTCCGAGATGCGCTTCGTGCAGGACCTGGTGCGCACCATCGAGCAGGAGAAGCTGCAGGGCGGCCAGTGCGGGCTGCGCTAGGCGCGCGCGCAGGGCCCGGGGCGCACGGGGGCGGGGGCGCACGCCGCCTTCCCTCCCCCGCTCGCCTCGCCCTCGCCCGCCTCCCGCTTCGGGCTCTGGGTCCGGCTTTGCCCCCCGCCCTGAGCTTTGCCCTTTGCCTGTAGGGTTGGCCACTTTTTTGGGGGGTGTTCCCCGGGGATCACCGCCCTGGGTCTGGGAGTCCGCCAAGGGCCAGTTCCTTCCACATGGCGCTGGCCAGGAGCAGCTCGGACTGGCACTGGCGGGGTGGGGGCGGGACTCCAACGTCCTACTCCGCTGGGAGTTGCGGGGCCACCTGGGGCCTCTGTGGGACACCGGAGCCCCCTTCAAGTTGGGTAGTGGCCGCTGACCTCTCCCACGTTCCCCCAGCTCCGCCCCTTCGGTCCCTGACCCTGCGCCGAGTGACAGTAGCCCAGGAGGAGTTGGGGCTCTGGGGGAGCAGGTGGGCGGTGCCAGGGTCTTGAGTCTTGACGCTGGAGCCTGCGACAGGGACGCACCGGGACGCAGCAGCCCACACCCCAGAGGCACATCTCCGCCAACCAGGGACCCCAGCCCCGCCCCAGCTCCCGACCCTTCCGCCCCGCCGACTTCCTTCCCCAGCGCCACCCCGTGAGCCCTCAGGGTGGCTTGTGTAGTCAGAAGCCCACTGGACGTAGTCGGCTGGCTGGGCGCCCCCCAAAGCCTGTGGACACCTCGGGCATTCTCGTTCAGGACCGCTCGGCGCCGCAAGGTGGCGCCCTCGAGTTGGTCTGGCCCTGGGAAGGAGGCGCTGAGGTCCGGGGACCTCTGAGCCCCGCGTGCCCCCAACCCGACCGGGGATCCGAGGGCAGTTCTCGAGGCCTGGGCTCGCTCGGGTCTGCAGAGGGCCCCCTCCCGTCTGGAGATCCCCCAGTCGCTAAGCGCATTTCTGCAAACTTGCACCTGCCGCAGTTGAAGGAAATAAAGACGGTTGTGCTCGTCCCTCTGTGCTCGTCCGCAATGCCCACTGCTCGGGGCCCGTCCGTCTGTCCGCGCGCTGCCCGCTCCTCAGGGCCTCCTGTCGGGGTGTGGAGTTGGGGTGCCCCGATATCGGCACTGGACTGGTCTCGGTGTCTGCTTCTCATTTTAAAGTTTCTTTTAAAATGTGCTTTTTGTTGTTGTTGCAGTGAGACAGAAGCTTCCAGGCCCGTGCAGTGTGCGGGGTGGGGGGGCTCTGGAGGGGCCGCTCGTCCCTTTGCGTCCTCAGAGACGCTGCCAAGTGCGGGGGTCCCCCCTCCCCACATCTGATTGGTGCCTTGGCAGCTGACCAGTCCTGTCCCGCCTGGCCCTGGCCTCAGCGCACCCCGCCCCCTACCCCTGGGGGCCCCCTTTGCGGTCCTTAAAAATGAATTAAAGGGCCGGGAAAGGAAGACAGCGGGATAGGGTGCCCCAAGCCCCACCACGAGTGGTCCCTGAGCCCGCAGGGTGTGGCGCCAAAACCAACCCAAATGGAAACCAAATTGAGTCGATAGCCAGCAAGAACGGTGCGAGAGGCGCAGCCCAGTAGGCCGAGGTGGCGACAAGTTCCAATTCCCGGTGTCACCCGTGTGCCGAGCGAGGCCCCGGCCGTGGAGCCCGTCTGCGTCCCTGTCGCTGTCGCGTGTCGCTGTCCCTGCCCCCCCTCCCCCCACCGGGTGGGTGATTCCCAGGTGCCACGCGGCCCAGGACAGCGGGTGAGAGGCAGAAAGCGCGACGTCTAGTGGACAGCGGGAGAACTTCAGGCCCCGCCAGAGTCTGCGCCAACTGCCCCTAGAGAAGCGCGGACGCCCTCCGGAGTCCCAGTCCCAGTGCCCCAGCCGGCGTGTGTGATACCATCAGGCAACCTCAGGAAAGGGCAGGAGTGAAACACTAGTAGCCAATGCGTATGTAATAATACACATTCACTCACACTCTCCTCCCGTTGTTCATCGATTTACTCGAGCGGGCCCAGTAACGTCTCCTTTGTGAGACTTGTTACTGTGTTTGGCATATCGAATCCGTCACGGGGAGCTTGCCAGGCTTTGCCCTGCGGGCAAGATACTCTCGGTAGCTTGCCAGGCTCTCCGAGAGGGGCGGAAGAATCAAACCCGGCTCGGCCAGGCTGGCTGCGCGCAAGGCAAAAGCCCTACTGCTGTGCTATCTCTCCAGCCCATGTCATAATAATAATAATAATAATAATAATAATAAGAGGGCCAGACTGATAGTAAAGCGGGTAGGCGTTTGCCTTGCACGCGGCAGACCGGGGTTCGATTCCCAGCATCCCATATGGTCCCCCGAGCACTGCCAGGAGTAATTCCTGAGTGCAGAGCCAGGAAGAACCCCTGAGCATCGCCGGGTGTGACCCAAAAAGCAATAAATAAATAAATAAATAATCACTATTTCCCCGTTGTTCCTTGATTTGCTCGAGCGGGCCCAGTAACGTCTCCATTCGTCCCTGTCACGTGCTAGTGTAGCCCAATGATGGGGGCTCTTTCAGGGTCAGGGGAATGAGGACCATCATTGTCACTGTTTTTGGAATATCGACTACGCCACGGGGAGCTTGCCAGGCTCTGCCGTGCGGGCGGGATACTCTGGGTAGCTTGCCGGGCTCTCTGAGAGGGGTGGAGGCTTTTGGGGCAGCCTCTAGTCACCTTTACAGGTGTTCCCAGTTAGGCATATATTCGGGCAAGATGCTCGGTAGCCTGCCGGGTTCTCTGAGAGCGAGAACTAGAGCTTGATTTTATAGTCTCTGGATCTTGGCCATTGATGAGATTACACGGCAGTTGGTGGGTGTAACTGTCTAGCGACTGGAAGATGGGGGATCTGGGTGGAGCAGGCTTGGAGATCTCAGCCCCAGGTCCTGCATACCTGGGTTCCTCTGCCGGTTCCTTCATCCGTGAGGCTCGTCCTAGCATGTGGAGACTGCTCTCAGCATGTGGCTGCGTCCCTGAAATAAATGAAAAAAAAATTAGTTGTAGCCACAACCAGACTCATGGGGACAAGAGGCCAAGGAACCCCTCCCTGGGGAAGGGTGAGCGTCTTGCGGGAAAAGTCCAAGACCTGGCAAGGCAGTGAAAGGTGCTCCTTGAGAATGTTCTGGAAGTATTCCTCAAGGTAGCCCCTCCCACCGCCCCTGGCCTGGCTCAGGGCTTGAACCCCAGCGTGCCACATGTAGGGCAGGTGCCTGCCTCTCTTGGGGCAGGTGTGGGGTTGCCTGAGGTCTGATGAGGCCTTTTCCCTCCCTCCTCCCTTTCCCCTCCCCTCCCCCCCTCCCCTCTCTGCCCTTTCTCCTGATTGGACTGATGATTTTGGGTAGATGCCCGGGCCCAGGTCACCTTGATGCCCTGGGCCTGGCGTGGAACCAGCGCGATGCCAGGCAGGGACGCAGGTGCTGGCTGTGCCAGGAATTTGTACCCATCAGGTCACAGCGTCACCCAACACCAGACAAGGGAAGGGCAGGCGCCGATTCTCCGTCACGAGGTCCTCGAGGGCCACACCCAGAGTCTTGGGGACAGGGGCCCCCTCCCGGGGGAAGAGGAGTGTCTTGTGGGAAAAGTCCGAGACCTCACAAGGCAGCGACAGTGCTCCTTGAGAATGCTCTAGAACAGTTTCCCAGAGTGGGGGAGTCCTGACCCCTGGCTGGGCCCAGCCACTGGGGAAAATATTCTACTTGCCTACAGAAGGCACATTACCCAGTTCATGTTTTCCCCCTAAAATGGGGCGGTGAACCCCTAAAGTTTGGGACCTTCAGCTCTAGGCTATCCTGTGCCTCCTGCACTCGGGGGGGCATTGGGGGTGCAGGGCGGGCATCATTGCGGGAAGGACAGGCCGGGGGCCCCGGGAGGGGCGGGTGGGGCCGGCACAGCTGTTGGATAACCAACAGGCTATTAATAGCTCCAGGGAGGCGCCTATAAAGCCCGGCCCGCCCGGCCCGCGGCTCCTCCAGCCCCGAGACCTTTAGCCCCCTGTGTGAGAGAAAAAGAAAAGTAAGTACCCAAACCACCTCTCCCGGCCCCCAAAGTGAGTCACAGCACAGCACCCAGACCCCTTGGGGCCCCACTGCCCCGGATGTGTGAAACACAGTCTGTGGGGGCTCTGAGCCCCCCCGGAGGCCTGGGGGGGCATCCGGTTGGGCCCAGGGGTCGCGAGGAAGAGGCCGAGGAGCTGGGACCCCCGGCCAGGTGACCCCGCGTGTGTGCGTGTTTGGGGGGAACGTGGCCACAGTGCTGCTGGCCACCCCCCCGGGGAGTGGACGAGGCTCCCTCTCTCCCCCACACCCCCTCTTTCCCTCGCTTGTGTACTCTGGGGGTCTCTGTTTGGGGGTGCGCCCTGTGGGCATCGAGGGACCTCAAGTTGCCCCTGTAATACCCCACACCCCGGCATCGCTGACGCAGCTCTTCGGTGCCTCTGCGGAGTTTCGGACTGGTAAATAAAAGGGGAGAGACGACGTCGGGGTCCGAGCCCTCCAGGCAGACCCCGGAATGTGCTGGGCAGCTTTGGGGGCACCTGGACCACCTGGCACCCGCTGGCTGGCCCCTTGGGGACTGGCATTCGTCTGGGGCCAGGGAGGGACAGCCTTTGGAGGTGACCCTTTCCTTGCTGACTGGGTCACGGGATCCCCCATCACCCCGGGCAGAGCAACTGCTGATTAAGGCTTCCCTGAGTGCTACATGATGTGAGCGACAAATGTTTGGGGGCCCTGAAGGGGGGGCCGGGGAGTCAGGCCTCGGCCACCGGCCAGGATGGGGCTCAGCTGCTCTCTCGCCCCAACCCTGCACCCCACCCCTGGATTGGAAAGCATTTTATTTTATATTATATATATTTTTCGGGGGGCCCCACCCGGCATGCTTAAGTCCCGACAGCACTCAGGGCTCACTCCTGGCAGGGCTCAGGAACCCGATGGGGACGCTGGGGCTCAAACCCGGGGTGACCCTGTGCAAGGCCAACACCCTCCCGCTGTCCTGTGGCTCTGGACCCTGCCCTAAAAAGGTCTTAAGAAGCAAAATTTTTGGTGTATGTCTGTGGGACTGACTTTCATGCTCAGGGGGACCCTTGGGGTTTGGGGGATCCAGCCTGAACTCTGGCCTCTGACCATCAGGATGGGGCAGCGGGGACCAGGCCAGGCCTTTGGGGCCTCTGTTTCTGTTTTCGCCAGTAGCTTGGGGAGGGGTGAGTCTCCCGTATCCAAGGGGGTGGAGGGGAATCCCAGGCTGACTTTCCCAGTGGGAAGCAGCAGAGGGCCTGGGGCTACCCACCCCCTCCTCAGTCCCCCCAAATCCTGGGCATCCCTCTGTGGGGTCTCGGGGTCACCCCTGGGGCTCTGGGGGGTGTAGGGGGCCTTGGACCTGCATGAATGAGAGCCTCAAGGTGGCGTGTGGCCCATGGTCTCCGTGTGCCCAGACACCTGAGGGCATGGGGTGGGCTAGCCTGAGCCTTTAGGGCCAAGTCCAGTGGTGCTCAGTGCTGACTCCTGGCTCGGCACTCAGGGATCACTCCTGACGGGGCTCAGAGGACCCCGGGGGTCGAACCTGGGTCAGCTGCATGCAAGGCGAACGCCCTCCCCGCTGTGCTATCTCTCTGGCCCCTTTCTTATTTTTCTCCTTCAGTTCTTGGAGCCTCACTCAGCGATGTTCAGGGGTGACTCCCAGCTCAGTACTCTGTGGGTGGCTGAGTGGCTCCCAGCTGCACTTGAGGGACTGTCTACAGACCTAGGACTCGAACCCAGGCCTCTTGCCTGCAAAGCCTGTGCTCCAGCCCTTTCAGCCGCCTGCCGGGCTCCACGCGAATCTTCCTCAGCTTGTGGTCCTGCTTCCCCTCCCCACCAGCCCTGCCTGGGGGCCCCCACTCTCCACGTCCTCACCCCTTTTGGCTTGAGGAGTTCCCCCGATGGCTACCGATGCTCGGTACGGGCCAGCTGCCTGCTGACCAGGTGGGTGGTGTCCCTGTCCCTGTCCCTGTCTCCTCCCGGACTATTTTATTTTGGGCTGTGACCATGGGTCAGCCTCACTGAGCTTCGTGCCTTGGCAGGCCCTCACGGCGCGTCTGCCTGGCCCACTCCGCCTGCGCAGGCCACCTCGGGCTGTCTCTCCCTCTGGCCCCTCACGCTGGACCTTTGCCATATCAGCACCGTAAGGGACACTTGGGACACTGTGGCTGTGGACGGTGACGGAGACAAGAGGAATGGAGCCTCACTGGAGTGGCACGGGATTAAAATTTGATCTTTGCTTATTTTGTTTTGGGGTTCAGACCCGGCGGGGCTCAAGGCTTCCCTCTGACTGTGCACAGGGAGCACTCCGGGTGGGGCTCAGAGAACCCTGAGGCGGTGCTGGGGATCGAACCCGGGTCAGCTGCGTGCGAGGTGAACGCTGGGGTCCTCGCTCTGCTACTGCTGCATGGCCAGAGGCTGCGTGCTTGATCCTTGACCTCCCAAGGTTAACACTGAAGCAAACCCGAGGGCTGGAGGAAACATTCAGCGTGGGAAACTCGGGTCGCTGCAGCTCCAGAAAGTGACCACAAGACGGCGCTGTGGGGCGCTTCCTTCCCAGACCCGTTTCTCTAAGAAATGTCCCCCCCGTCCTGACCTCCCTCCAGAACCTGCTGTCGCTCCCCAGGACACTCCGAGATCTCTGCAGAGGGGAGCCCGACCCTCGCCCACCTCCGCAACTCCCCACGCTGACCCGCCCTCTGACTCCGGCTTCTTCATTTGGGGGCTAGGTGGCCAGAGCAGAGCCCAAAGACCACTTTTGGGGGTTCAGAGGCCCCTATATGGAGCGGGGGATCGAACTCAGGTTGACCCCAAGCAAGGCAAGTGCCGTCCACGCAGAACAGTCTCAGGTCCTGCTCCCCGTTCTCAAGGTTTCCCCTTCATGGTCATCCCCATGCCCCATCACCCCACATTTCTGACTTGAGGGTGCCCCCTGCTCTGTTCTACGTGAAGGAAGCAGAAGGAAGATTCAGCTCGATACCCCTCCACTTTGGGGTAAAGAAATCTGCTCTAAAAGAAGCGAGACTGCTTTTCATTGTTTGGGGGCCACACCGGTGTTCTGGGTTCCTCCTGACTCTGCACTCAGGAATTCCTTCCGGTCGTCCTCGGGGGACCCTATGGGATGTTGGGGCTCGAACCAGGGTCACTCCGTGCAAGGGAAGCGCCCTAGGTGCTTTACTAACACTTCATAGCCAGAGGCGACGTGTTTGATCCTCAATGACCCTATACCTAACACGGAAGCAAAGAAAAGGGCTGGAAATCTTAAGCGTGGGAAAGTCGGGCCGCGGCACTTCCGCAGAACCGCCACGAGATGGCACTGCAGGACGCTTTTGTCCCTCCCCAGGCCCGTTTCTCTAAGAAATTTCCACCCTTGGGTTCGCTTCAATGTTAGGTGTGGGGTCATTAAGGATCAAGCAGGTGCAGCGGTAGCAGAGCGGTTAAGGCTCTTGCCTTGGGTTCTGCGGACTCAGGTTCATTTCCCAGCACCCCATACGGTTCCCCAATCATGCCGGGAGTGATTCCTGAGTGCAGAGCCAGGAGTCACCCTTGAGATCGCTGATTGTGGCCCTGAAACAAAAACAAACAAGAAAAGATCAGCTTCAGTTCCGAAGCCGGCAGATTTCTTCACACGCAAATCTGAGGGGGGCAGTGAGGTGACTCTTGCTTCCACACCACTCTTTCTCAAAGAACAGGGAAGAACACAAAGAACACCCTCAGAAATGTGGGGTGCTGGGGAGTGGAGATGATCATGTTGAAGACTTTTATTTTTTTATTTTTATTTTTTGGGTCACACCTGGGGACACCCAGGTGTTACTCCTGGCTTTGCACTCAGGAATTACTCCTGGTGGTGCTCGGGGGACCATGTGGGATGCTGGGAATTGAACCTGGGTTGACCGCATGCAAGGCAAATGCCCTACCCACTGTGCTATCTCTCCAGCCCTGCTGGAGATTTTAAAAAACCGGTGTCGGTTTGGAAGGATCGTACTGCGCGAAGGCACAATCCTCTCCTGTGGTCAACCTGGGTTTGATCTCAGGCACCATATAGGGTTCCCTGAGCCCCCAGAATCTGTTGTGGTCACCCACATCTGGGGAGTTATGGAAACGCCCCACAGCATCGATGAACAAACAGGGGTTCGCCAAACACAAGACAAGCGCCCGGGGTCCCCACTATGCTACCGCTGCATGGCATGAGGCCGTGCGCGTGATCTTTAATCCCCCAAGGTTAACACTGAAGCAAACCCAAGGGCTGGAAACATTTAGCGTGGGAAACTCGGGGCACTGCAGTTCCAACATGTGGCCACAAGGCAGCGCTGTGGGGCGCTTTCATCCTTCCCAGAGATGTCCCTCTTTCAGAAATGTCCCTCCCTGTCCTGACGTCCCTCGGGAACCTGCTGTAGCTCCCCAGGACCCTCCGAGCTCTCTGCAGAGGGGAATCCGGTCCTCGCCCACCTCCACCACCCACCCCATTAACAGTCCCAGCAAGTGTCTCTTTTGCATTATGGGTGGTCACAGCAGAGTTCCTGGGGGACTCTGGGGCCCTATATGTGAGGGGGATGACCCGGGTGGGCCTTAGGGAGGCAAATGACTTTAATGCATTGTGATCTCTCCGTCCTGACCCCTTTGTTAGTGGCTTCCTGAGATGCTCACCCCCACACCCTGTCACCCCTATTTCCAACTATGCCGCTTGCCTGTTCTGCATGAAGGAGGGGTGGTGGAAGCAAGATTCAGCTTAGTAGCCCGCAAGATTGTGGCGAAGAAATCGCGGACAAAGAACTGAGGCTGCTTTGTTTATTATTACTTTTTTTTTTTTTGCGGGGGGGGGCACAATCCGTGATGCTCAGGAATTACTCCTGGCTCTGCACTCAGGAATTACTCCAGAAGGTGATCGGGAGTCGAAATGGGGTGCCTGCGAAGGAACCCGAGACCACCTAATGCACTGTGAACGCCCTAGGCTATGGCCCCAACGCCAGAGGCTCCAGCTTGTTCCTTAATTAACCAGAGACAAAGCCAAGGGCCTGGAAATCTTCCCTGCAAACACGGGACTCGCCACTTCCTCTGAGTCGCCACAAGTGGGCGCCTTGGAGCGTCTCCGTCCCTCACCAGGGCCAGTTCTCTCAGCACCCCCCTAAGCTGACTCACCCCGCCAGTGCTCTGGCTTTTTAATTTGGGACCTGAGTGTGGGCCACCCCCAGCGGAGCTCAGGCGTTTTTCCTGACGGCGTCTAGGGAACCTCTGAAGGGCCAGGAATCTACCTGGGGTTGGCCACGTACCAAGCACGTGTCTCACCAGCTGTTACTACTTCCTGACCCTCTGGCTTGAGGTTTTGTCTGGTTTTGGTGTTGCACCCGGGAGTGTTCAGGGGTACTGGCAGCTCGGTGCTTCGTGGCCATTCCTGATCATTCCTTCTGTGACCAGACGGGTTTGTTTGCCAGCAGGAAGATCCTTCACACATTCCAGTTCTCTCCAGCACGCCAGGCCTTGGGGATCTGCTGGGGACACAGGCCTGCATGCCTGGGCCCCCTGACCCGTGGAACCCCTTCACATGCTCCTCTGGGGGTCCTCAGAAAACCAGCAGGATGACCTGGGACCGGGAACATGGACCTCCTGGGCTGACACTGACTGAATACCTTACCCACGCCACCCCTGTGGTGATTGCCTGGGTTGGGTTTTAGGTTTTGGGGGGCTAGAGTTGAGGTGCGGAAGAGGCTTTTGCTGAGAAGTGGGTCAGAAGTACGTGGGATCCTCTGGACTCAGCCACTGTCCATCTGCCTGTCCATCTGTCCATCCTCACAGCTGTCTCCTTGGGCATGTGGTCCCAAGAATAAAGGAGGGCTCCTGTTCTCTGGTGGGATTTACGGGGGAGGGGTCACACTTAATGGTGCTTAGGGGATCAAGGCACGTGTTCAGCCCCGCGGAGCCTCCTTTGACTATATTTTGGGGTCTTTAGGGCCACACCCAGTGGCGTTCAGGGCTGATTCCAGACTCTGCACTCAGGGATCCCTCTTGGAGGGCGCAGGGGGACCCTATGGGGTGCGGGGTACTCAACACGGGTTGGCCACATTCAAGGCCAGCGCCCTCCTTGTCCCCCCAAAGCCTCCTTTGAACCTTCTCCATTGAGAAGGTTCCTTGGAGGAGTGGGGTACCCTGGAGGGTTGGTAGGACCGGAGTTCAGGTTCCTGGCTGGTTCTGTGGTTGGAACACGGGGACTTGAGGACACGGAGAGTCTGTCCCACAGACCCCCTGGCAGGAAGTGGGGTGGCAGTGACCAGGGGGAAGGAGGGAGGCTGGGTTCGCATCCCCCAGGCCTCTCCCCTGACTGCAAATACAGCATCGGGGGGGTGTCTGGGGGGTGTCTGTGTGTCCTCCGGCCATGCGGCTGGTGAGTTGCTCCTCCTTGGGTCAACCAGATCCGGGTCCACTCTACCCTCCTCCTGCCCTCTTCACTCACCCCTGCCCTTCCCCCCCCTATTTATTTTAACCTCCCCTGGAAGCACTCTGGGTTTGGGGACCCTTGTGTGTGGTTCGAGGCGCTGACATCACTCTCCTCTCTTTCCTCCACTGCTCAGGTCCTGCTGGGGTGGGTTCAGTCCCACCAAGTCCCTGAGTATCTCCGCGCCTCCCTGAGGGTCAAGGTGGGTGGGTGGGGCTCCACAGGGACAGGGTCTAGGACAGGGGGCTCAGAGGGGACAGGGTGTCTGCAGTCGGATGCAGTTGCAAAGGAGGGGGGTCAGGTTGCCTGTGGGGAGCTTAGGGGGTTCTAACAAGAGCCGGGCACAGCTCAGGCCAGGTGACAGCCTGGGGCCCCCTCTGGGAAATGAAGGCCTCAAGAATCCCTCGGTTCCCATGGGCACGGGTGGGGGGACCACAAACAGAGTCTGTCAGTACCCAGAGCTCACCCAGCGCCACCCCAGAGACCCCCAAAAGAACCAGGGAGAAAGCCCAGGAGGACCCCTCTCTCCGTACCTTAGGAAACAGGTTGGACCTCCAAAATTAAAAAAAACAACAGTTTTTATACTGAAGCCACTGTAAGGTTACACAGGCTGAGAAGCCGAGCTGATGGTCACGCAGAGCCTGCTGGGACGACTGTCCCACCGGGGTCAGGATCTTGCCAGTACCAGGAGGGGATGGGTGGGGGGGCGGTACCTTTCCATGGCCACGCCCCTGAACACAGAGCCACGCCCCAAGCTACACCCAGGCCCGCAGACCAGCCCCAGCCACGCCCCTGGTGCCCGGCCACGCCCACCCCACAGCCAGGTCCCCCCCAGGGCTCCGTGCCAGCCACGCCCCTCCCACCCACCACGCCCCCCAGCCCCGCCTAGGGGCAGTTGAGAAGCGTGTTCTGAATGTCCTCCAGGACTTGGCGCAGCAGCTCCTCACGGGGCTTGGTGCCGTCCAGGTACTCTGCAATGACACGGGTGGTGGTCAGGCGCCAAGGAAGACGCTGGGTCAGCAGAGTGGGGCTGCAGGGTGATGGGGGCGGGGGCTCACGCGCCCCTGCCTTGGCTTACCCACTTCCACGCCGTCTGCCTCCATCTCCTGCCGGTACCTCTGGTACATGGGCCACACGTGGCCGTCGAAGAGGCCCGGCGGGTCGGGCACCGTGTAGTTTCGAGAGCTGGGGGAGGGGCGAGAGAAGGGCAGGCATGAGGGGCGGCCCCCACGCTCCCCCGTGGTGCCAGGGGGCCGGTGAGGGGGTGGGTGAGGAGGTTAGGGGGTCGCGTGTCGTGCCTGGGGCGCTGGGTGCCTGCAACAGAAACAGCCCGTGACCTGCGGGATGGCCACTGGGTTTTCTGGTCTCAGGTGGTCCCTCGCCCCCTCCCCCGCAGCACTCTCTCCACTGCTCACCTTCTCCTCCTCTTGCACTCGTCGTAAGGCACAGTGAGGAAATACCGTCGGCTGTACAAATCCACCAGGGGCCTGGGCAGAGGCGGGCGGGGGCGAAGGTCAGCTCAAAGCCTGCAATCCCAACAGCCCCCAGCCCCAGCTCCCAGGTCTTCCCTGTGTGTGGGGGGTGCAGGGTGGGGAGGGGAGCGGGTTGGATTAGGGGCCAGGGCCAGAGCCAATCCTCTATCCCTCTGAATGATTCCCATGTCCTTTCACTTGCATGGGCCCAGAGAGGTCCGATTTCTGACCCAAGGATGCACAGCAAGATGGGGGAAGGGGCACTGTGCACGTGGTGAGGGCTGAGAACTCTGTCATTTGTGTGTTTGCTTCTGGGCCCCACCTGGAGGCGCACTCCTGGCAGGACTCAGGGGGACCATAGGTGGTGCCGGTATAGAACGCAGCTCAATCTCGTGCAACGCACCCTGCACCCTGCAGGCAGGTATCTCTCCGCCCCATGGCTGAGGCTCTAGAGAGACTGCTGTTTCTCCAACCTCTGACCTGAGCTCAGCTCAGCCTCGCCTGCCCCTTCCTGCTGCTCACTATCCTTCCACCTCGCCCCCAGTTCCCCATCCCGATCTCCGGCCGGTCCAAGTGGAGAGGCAGCACGCCCGCGTGCCCGGGGACAACCCCCCCCCCCCCCCCGGGTGCAGCCAGGCTCACTTGTAGCTGTAGAGCAGAAAACCCTCCAGGATGAGGATGTGGGTGTCCGAGGCGTGGGGGGGTGGGACGCTGACGCCGTGGGCACGGGCAAATTTGCGGGGGTTGCTCAGCCAGGCCTGCACGGTGCTCAGCATCGCCTCCATGTCCAGGGACTCCAACACTGGAAAAGGTAGAAGGAGTGTTGGGGAGGGAGAAGGGCGTGACCCGGCAGCTGGGGGCATGACCAGACTGCCACGGGGGTAACTAGGGTGTTGTGGGCGTGGCCTGGATGTCGTGGATGTGGCTACGATGTTTGGGGATGTGATCAGACTTTCACCAGCTTGGCTAGATGTCAAGGACGTAGCTGGGCTGGGGGGGCGTGGCTAGATGTCATGGGCATGGATGAGCTGTAGGGGGCATGGCTAGATGTCATGGGCGTGGCTGAGCTGTAGGGGGCGTGGCTAGATGTCATGGGCGTGGTCGGGCTGTAGGGGGCGTGGCTAGATGTCATGGGCGTGGTTGGGCTGTAGGGGGCGTGGCTAGATGTCATGGGCGTGGTTGGGCTGTAGGGGGCGTGGCTAGATGTCATGGGCGTGGCTGGGCTGTAGAGGGCGTGGCTAGATGACATAGGCGTGACTGGGCTGTAGGGGGCATGGCTATGTATCATGGGCGTGGCTGACCTAGGGATGTGACTGGATGTCATGGGTGTGGCTGGGCTGTAGGGGGAATGACTGGATGTCATGGGCGTGGCTGGGCTGTAGGGGCGTGACTGGATGTCATGTGCGTGGCTGGGCTGTAGGGGCGTGACTGGATGTCATGGGCGTGGCTGGGCTGTAGGGCTCGTGGCTAGGTGGCATGGGGCATGGCTGGGCCGTAGGGGGAATGACTGGATGTCATGGGCGTAGCTGGGCTGTAGGGGATGTGACTAAGTTGAGGGGATGAACACGTGGGCGTGGCAATGCTGTCCTGAGGGTGACCAGGCTGCTGGGGGCGTGGCTGGGCTATGGGGGGCGTGGCTAGGTTTGAGGCGGCAGGCTGTCATGGGCGTGGCTACATGGTCCTGAGCATGACTGAGCTCTCGGGGTGTGGCCAGATCCTAGGGGGCGTGGTTTCATGGGGGGCGGTACTTACCATCCCACTGTTTGAAGCCGTCTTCCCCAACGGCGATTTGGTCTTGGGGCTGGAAGGGAGAAGGCCGAGTTCTGGACTGAGTGTCCTCGCCCCCTCACGCCCCCCACCCCAGGGTGCCAGCCCCATTCCGGTGCAGCTGAGGCTCCCAACCTCTGCGATCTTGTATAGGGGTGGGAATCATGCTCTGGACTGGCATGCACCCTCCCATTTCCGTGACGTGGGCTCAGGAGGGAAGGGACCTTGTATCTGTGCCCTGGGGACACGCCACATAGCCGAGACCGGCTGTGGGGGCATTCCACAGATGAAAAAGTGGGGGGAGTCTGTGGGTTCCTACTCGTTTCTCATGCCCTAGGGTTTGCCTGGGGAGAGGGGGGACCTGGAGCCCCGGAGGCTGGGCACTGGGGCACTGGGCAATTACCGCCCGGCCCCTTCTTGGGGTGCCACTTCCCGCCCCTGTTCCCAGCAAAGGGGCAGCACCTTAAAAAAATCATCTTGGTGGATCACACAGCAGTTGGGCAGTAACTTCAGCAGGTTGTTGGTCAGTGTGGTTTTTCCACCATTGGTCACACTGTGAGGAGAGAAGGTTCTAGAAGCTACTGCCAGGTGCCCCCCGCCCCCCCCCCCCCGCCCTTTCCCATGGAGTGCCTGTCTGGCTCTGTGGGCTTCTCGGACCCTGCATTCCCTCCTCCCCCCCACTCCCGAGTCAGGCTCTGATATAGAACACTGAACTCAGGTTGGGGAGAGAGAGTCGAAACAGATGAGCCAAGGTCTGCATGCCCGGGTTCCCTGAGCACTGCCCCAGCATGGAGCGGAGTTTGGTTCAAAGACACAAAGAACACAGAGCAATGACAAAATCCCCCAAAGTTGTAGAGGGAAAAAAATTGCAAAGGGCCCTCTCCCGGGGAGTGATCCCAGAGCCAGGAGCAGGGGACAGGGCAGTTAGTGACATGCCCCTGGCCGCAGTCGTGTTGGAGAAGACCCCTATTCTCAAAGCCAAGGCCAGCAGAGACAGAAAAGGGAGGAGGAAGAGTGAGCTGGCTGAGCAGGACCTCCCGGTTTGCCTGGAAACGGGGCAGCATTCAAGGGCTGCTGCCGTCTCTGCTCAGGGCTCGCTCAGTGCCACTGTCGGCTGCGCAAGGCAAGCGCCTTAGCCCCCAGCAGGCTCAGAGATTACTTCTGATGGTGCTCAGGGGACCCTATGGGATGCCAGGGATCGAACCCAGGTTGGTTGCGCGCAAGGCAGGAGCCTTTCCCACCGGGCTAACGCTCTGGCCCCGGGATCTGGGCTTCTGGGAGAATAGCACAGGGAGCGGACAGCTTTTCTAGAAATGACCGTCTCTATGACCGCCTGTCAGGGCCCCGCTGGGGACAAAGCTGTCGCTGGTCAGATAGGCTGAGCGAAAAGACATGCCCAAGCCGGATTGGATCCCCAGCACCCCTGGGGTCCCCTGTACCCCATCAGAAATAATCCCTGAGTGCAGAGCCAGAAATAAGCCCTGAGCACTGTCAGGCATGGCCCTGAAGTAAACGCCCCAGAATAAAAGGGGGCGATGGGAACATGGTTCCACATATAATCACAGGGTGGGGACAGTTAAGGATATGCACTGCGGGGATCTGGGGGTCCCACGAAGGATGCGATCTGTGCTCCGCGGCTCAGAGGTGGCCACAGAACTGTCTCGCACCCCCCCACCCCCCTGTGATGGGGAGGCCCCTCCCACAGCAGATAGAAGGGGAATTTCAAGTGTGTGACAGCAGAGCCACAGCCGGGCTGTGGGGGGCTGGGCCACCCAATCCCACCTCCTGAGGACGACCGAGTGCCTCTGGGCTCTTGCTGGGGACTGGGGGTTGGCGGCGGCGGGGGGGGTCCCAGAGGTCACCAAGACGTGGCCTCAAAGGCACGTGGCTTCTAGTCACGTGGCTTCTAGATGCTTTCCCGGACCGGCTCCCAGCCCAAGTGCGAGCACACGCCCCACCTCCAATCTTCCGGGGGAGGGGGTGTCCTCAACGCACCTCTTCCAGGCCCCTCCCAGGACGCCCCTCCCCCAAATCTGCGCGGGAATAGGGTGCGCACCCTCACTCTTCCAAGATGACCCCAGCGCAAACTGCATCCCAACCCCCCGCCCCCCGCCTCCACGCACTGCTGGTACAAGGGGGACCCCAGGAGGAAAAAGCGAATTTCCGCTTAGGAAATTCAACGCACCCCGCATTCCCCCACCTCCGCCGTGCCCAGGGCGAGGGCTCCCTCCCACCCCGGGGCGCTCCGCAGCGCAGGCCCCGCTGCCCAGACCATGGACAGCGCCCCGCGCCCCCCGCCCCCCCCCTGCGCCCCCGCGCCCCAGCTCACCCGCCGATGCCCACGACGTGCTGCTTCATGTCTGCGCGGGCGGCGGCGGGGCCCGACTGGCACGCACGGCGCGGCACGCACGCAGCACGCACGCAGCGCGCACGCACGCTCGGGGGCCCGGCCGGCCCGCGCCCGCCCGCAGTGCGCCCGGCCGCGCGTCCCGGCTTCATTGACAAAAGCCGCGTGCGCCTTTATAGGGGCGCGCAGCGGAGGCCTGCGTGGGGGAGGCGGCCCCGGCCTATGGGGGAGCGTGGCCTTCGGGGGCGGAGGGCGCCGGGGGCGGGCGGGGGCCGGCACACCTGTCTCCCCGCGTGGGATGGAAATAGCTCCGCGTCGCCTTTCGCCTAAATTAGTCACGGGCGGCTGGCGAGGGGGTAACCCCAGCTGTCCCCTCCTTCCTCCGGGCCCCACAGACCCGCCCGCACGTCCTCCCGGGCTAAAAATACTCCAGCGCCTGTCCCCTGGCTTGACCCTGACGCTCATTCCGGACTGGTGGACCCACGGGCATCTCACCCGCACCCCGCGGGAAACTGCCCTCTCCAAGGCGGGACGCAGTCTGCCCAAGTGGGGTTCAAGGGCCCGCTTGTGTGTCCCCGCATGTCTGTGGTGACCCGGGCACGGGGGCCCAGAGTCTGGGGGACACGCTGCAGATGTCACTGGTCCCCGGTCCTACCTGGTTAAATTTTTTGGTTGGGGCTGGAGCGATAGCACAGCGAGTAGGGCGTTTGCCTCGCACGAGGCCGACCCGGTTCGATTCCCAGCATAGCATGTGGTCCCCTGAGCACGGCCAGGAGTAATGCCTGAGTGCAGAGCCAGGAGGAACCCCTGTGCAACGCCGGGTGTGATCCAAAAAGCAAAAAAAAAAAAAAAATTTTTTTTGTTTATATTTTTTACAGTTTTGGGTCACACCGGGTCATGCTGGGGGTTGACTCCTGGTTCTGTGCACAGGGATCACTCCTGAGAGGGTTCCGCAGGGCCCTATGGGGTGCTGGAGCTGGAACCCCAGTGGGCAGGGACCACGGCCAGCACCCTTCTTTGCTGTCTTACCACTTGGCCACTTGTCCTGCCTGTTTTGTGTCCCCAAGCAAAGGTGCCAGATACCGGGGCTGGAGTGGGGTGGGGTGCCCTTTCTGTTAGCGCAGGGAAGGGACACCCAGGGAATGCCCCCATCACCCAAGAAATATTTGGGTTTCACGACCCCCCTTTTCCCTCCTAGAGAGACCGCGAGCGCCGGGCAGTGCCCCTCACCCCAAGGAAGGAATGCTTTGTGCTTGGCAGGCAGGCGGCTGCTTTATTTCATTATTAGTTATTTATTTGATTTGGGGGCCACACTCAGTGATGCTCAGAGCCGACTCCTGGCTTCGAATCACTCCCGGGGATGCTCCAGGGGACCCTTTGGGATGTCGGAGATCGAACCCCGCCCGCATGCAAGGCCAGTGCCCTCCCCGCTGCCCTATGGCCTGTGTCTATTTTTGTAGGCGCCACCGCTGACTACAGTCAGCTGTGACATGTGTGTAAGTGCGTGTGTGTGACGTGGTGCTGCCGGCCAAACCCAGGGATTCTCATGTGCTTGCCGCGTGCTTGCCCGCTTGGGTCACCTCCCTGCTGGCCCCCACCCCCCAGCATTTCCATTAAAAAAAAGCCCAATGGGCAGAGGGACTTTCAAGAGGTCCCCAGACCTGGCTTTGCACGAAGATTTGAACTTTAGCACCCCCAGACAGTGCATGCCCGCCCCCCCGCCCGGAGGTGCCCACACCTGTCAAGCACCCAGCTGAAAGGAACCCGTAGGGTGTGGGGGCCCTGAACCCAACCAGCTGATCCATTTCCTTGCCGGCCTTGCGTTTTTTCTCCATGACTTGCTGGACCCCCAGCTGGAGGCGCCCTCGGCTGGGGAAGCCCTGCCGTGAACCTGACCTCCGGCCCAGTTTCCGTGATAAGTTTCCTTGGAGCCTCCTGTGGGCTGAGTTCCGGGCCACAGGGTACAGGGACGTGTCCAGATAGAGGCCTGGCCAGGTGCCCCAGGGCCACCTCCTGGTCAGCTGGGCTGGCACGGGGCTCCCTGTGTAGATCAGCCGCGTCCCCAAATAGCACAGCAGGACACTGGCACTTCCAGAGGGACAGGCTGGGGGCCGGGCCCATAGGACAGCAGGGAGGGCACCCGCCTGGCATGTGACTGACCCGGGCTCCATTCTCGGGCATCCCAGAGGGTCCCCTGAGCCACGGGGAGTGATTCCTGAGCACAGAGCCAGGAGTTGGCCCTGAGCACTGCTGGGTGTGGCCCCCAGACAAAACAAAACAATATAAGAACAACAACAACAAAAGGCTGGCTGGGGCCATATGACAGCGGGGGAGGGTGTTTGCCTTGCCTGTGGCCCAGCCAGGCTTTGATCCCCGTCACCTCAGCCACGACAGGAGTGATCCCTGAGCACAGAGCCAGGAATAAGTCCTGAGCACCCGCTGGGTGTGGAGCCCCCAACAAAACCCAAACCCAAACCAAAGAGTGATGGGCCAGACCAGATCCGGAGTGACGGGCTGGAGTGACGGCTTTGGATGAGGTTGGTGCTGGGGGTAACCCCAGGTACAAAGTATGAACTCCTGGGGCCAGAGCAGGACAGTGGGGAGGGTGTTTGCCTTGCACGCAGCCGACCTGGATTCAATCTCTGGTTTCTCAGAGCACCACCAGGAGTAATTCCTGAATGCTGAGCCAGGAGTAAGCCCTGAGCATCGCTGGGTGTGACCGAAAAAGCAAACAAAAAAAAAAATTCAAAAAACAAAACAAAGCATGAACTTATTTATTTATTTATTTATTTATTTTTGCTTTTTGGGTCACACCCAGTGATGCACAGGGATGCACTGGCTCTGCACTCAGGAATTACTCCTGGGGGACTATATAGGATGCTGGGAATTGAACCTAGGTCTGCCAAGTGCAAGGCAAATGCCCTACCCACTGTGCTATCACTCCAGCTTCAAAGCATGAACCCTTGCCGCTTGCTTTTGTTTTTGGTGGGACTCGGGGTATTCCTGGCTCTGTACCCAGGAGGGACCCTGGATGGAACCCGGCTCCAGCCTTAGGAACTCTCTCCCCGCCCCCCCCCAGGGTCTATGTTTTCTTTCATCTTCCAGGAAACACACTCAGCGGAGCGCAGAGGAACCAAATCATGGCAGAGACCCGAGGTTGGCTTTTCACCAGCCCCATCGTGGGTCCAGAGTGGCATGAACATGTCTGGAGTCCCGCCAGCTGGAAGAGGAGCAAGGCTAGAATCAAAGCCCCCTGTCCCACCCCTGTCTCTGGCCTGTGGCAAGAGGGACCCGTCAGAAGCCATGGGAAAAAGGCTTCAGGTAGGGAATCAAAAAAAAAAAAAGGAAAAAAAATAAAAATCATGTTTTATAACTGACAAGCTTCTGTTTCTCCAATATCCCTTTGTTTTTAGTGGGGGGTGGTCACACTGAGCGGTGCTCAGGGATAACTCCTGGCTCTGTGCTTAGAAATTGCTCCTGGCGGTGCTCAGGGGACCATATGGGAAGCTGGGGATCAAACCCAGGTCAGCCTCGTGCAAGGCAAACGCCCCACCCACTGTACCACTGCTCCAGCCCCATCATGCAGTTTTCTTTCGGTTTACTTTATTCATTGTTTGGTTTTGTCTTTGTCCACACCTGGAGGTGCTCAGGGATCACTCCTGGCAGTGCTCCAAGGTCCTGTGTGGTGCCAGGGATGGAACCCGGGTCAGCCGCATGCAAGACGAGCGCCTGAACCGCTGAACTCTCTCGGGTCCCTTTTCATCTCTATCTCTCCCTTCTAATCCAAAGCCTGACGAGGGAGAGAAATCACTTGCACACCAAACGGAAGGATGACATCTGGCTTTCTGTGGCAGTGGGTGATGCTGACGGTGTGAGAAGAAAGAAAAGTACCGGGTGATCTGGCGGTGCGACATGAAGTGAAAATAACGATCACTGGGAAGAGCCCCTCGAACCCTGGCTCCAGAGTGGAGGCCAGGTGGGGACACGGCGGGGGTGGGCAGAGGGGGTTTCAGGGCTAGGAGGTGGGGTGTTGGTACGCGGGCATGGGCCTGGCGTGGGGACACTGAGTCCCCGGTACAGATGTACACTTGACGCTCTCTTACAACCTGTGCTGCTCCCGTAAACATGAGTAAATGCGGAAGCAACAGGACAGGAGTGGAGGTGCTTACTCTGCACCCCAGTGATCTCTGGCACCGCGTAAGGTCCCCCTGAGCACTGCCAGGAATGATCCCTGAACAGTGTTGGGTGTGACCCCAAAACAAAACCTAAAAAATCCACCATAAGGGGCTGGAGCAATAGCACAGCGGGTAGGGCGTTTGCCTTGCACGCAGCCAACATGACCGACACAGGTTCAATTCCCAGCACCCCATATGGTCCCCTGAGCACCGCCAGGGGCAATTCCTGAGTGCATGAGCCAGGAGTAACCCCTGAGCATCGCCGGGTGTGACCCAAAAAGCAAAAAAAAAAAAAAATCCACCATAATATTCCATTTACAAAAAAAAAAATCTTCTAGGGCTGGAGAGAGAGTACATCAGGAAGAGCATTTGCCTGGCATGTGACTGACTTGGGTCCATGGCCAGCACCCCAGAGGGACCCCTGAGCCGAGCCCTGCCAGGAGTGATCCCTGAGCACAGAGCCTGGAGTCAGCCCTTAGTACTGCCAGGCGTGGACCCCAAACCACTTAATCATTTAATCACTTAACTTCCCGTTAGTCGTCGATTTGCTCGAGCGGGCGCCAGTAACGTCTCCATTTGTCCCTGTCGCGTGCTAGTGTAGCCCAATGGCATCTGTTTGCTCTGGGAACATGAAGAGCCTCAAACCGATTGTTCGTGATCTTGACGAAGAAGTCTGACCATCTGGTAGGTGGGTGGCCACGCGGTCTTTTGACATCCCGTGGAATCCAGTCAGTAACAGCTCTAGTCCAGCGGTCGTCTTTAAATCTCATTACGTGACCAGCCCATCTGATTTTTGACACCTTGGCAAACGAGACAGCGTCCTTGATTCTTGATCGTTGACGGATGTCAGAACTCCGGATTCTTTCTCTCATTTGAGTGAAACGTGATATTCCAAGCATAGCTCTTTCTATTCTTCTTTGGGAGACCTGAATAGCGTTC